AATCAAAATAATAATTGGTCAAGCAGTTGTAAGTATATTAATTTGTGATTTACAATATTGATTTTGTTAAAAAAAATATAAGTATGCCATAATTTTACGTGTTTCACCGTTTTTCAGTGGGTTTTCCATATACTTACATAAAAAAATGACCTCCAAATAAAATGTCAAATTAAAAAATAATGAGGTCACGCAAAACTTTTAGAACTACTTTCCTAATAAGACAGCCGAAAGATGATAACAGATAAGACTTGGTAACAAAAAAAAAATAAAAACCTATTGTAAATCAAATACATTCTGCCCTTCACTAAAAAAACCTAATAATTTAAGTACTTTTGAGTGATTTTGTAACCTTCAATCGTAAAGTATAAACAATTATATTTAAATGTATTAAAACACAACGCCTTTAAAAATACACATCATAAAACCATCGGTTTAATCGAATTGATGAAAGAACATTGATAAAGAACAAAATTATTTCAGCTATATGACATATCACATAAGTGATAAAGGTACAAAAATGACACATCGTTTGAGCCAAAATTTGTAGGACATAGGCACCAATTTAATATTGAATACCTGTTATTCCTAACACATTACAGAAGCACCAAAGGTTTACAAATTCTTCTAAGATTCTAAGAAATTGTTAATAAATATAAATGTAAATTAATAAATCGGTTGATTTTTTCAATCTTATAAAAAATTGTCAATAATAAATTGTTAAAATATAATTGTATATAGTACTAAATTTAATATCTATTAACCGTGGACTACAGGGATAATGAGTGTTCAACGATAAAAGAATCATCCTGTATATTTACGCAATATCGGTGTTCGAAATTTTAATGCTATTTATGAACATTGGAAACTGTCGACTTTTTAAGGTTTTTTTCGATTTATACTGATAATAATTGTTAATTTTAAATCAAAAACTTTATGATTTTATATAGGATTTTCTTACATGGAATGAAAGATAAGCCAATATTTTTTAATTAATTAAAAATAGTTTTTCACTTGCTCAGCCGGCAATAGTTCTGAATACCACATATTATGCACACATGCGTAATATGACGTCCGTGTAATAAGTTTAAATTTCCAATTAAAAAGGCTCAAATTAAGTGAGGTGGTCATATATTTTGATATTACTACTTAGCAGTATAATAGAATTTATTTTTCAACTCGATCTATCACAGTCGAAATTTGTCAAAACCTTGTCAAATTAATATTTTTAAATAATTCTGACTATTACATTAAAATGTTTGTACCGATACTTCATTGTGTAACATTAGGAATTTAAGAATATGAATTTTATCATATTAATGAGTTATGACTTATTAATTATTAAGTGTTTAACATATGTGTTAAATATATGATTTGTATATGAGGTAAAATAACTAAGTAAGTAAGTATACTTACATTACAAATCTTTTGCAAATGGAACTTTTAGGTTTGGATGTTTTTTTTAAATGTTTATCAGTCATGATATTATATTTTATAAACTTATCTCATAGTGTCAACATTTAATTACATGATACAAAAAAAAAACAATAGTAAAAAAAATTGATTATAAAATAATAATTAGATAATTGATAGATATAATAAATCCCTATTCATAAATAATAATAAATGGGATTTCTTTGTTGTATTGTCACTCAACTTATTATAACATGTGTGTAGGTATTCTTACTTCTTAGTGTGTATTCTTTTTAAACACCCTTATAGACCTACATATAATATGTATATAAATGGTAGACCTTACCATAGTATTATTATCAAAAAATCGCTTCCAAATATTTCACTTAAAAATTATAAAAATAGGTATTATGAGTGTTGATTTTCCATCTATCATTTAAAAAAGTTTTAAAAAAAATTCATTACCTCTTTTTCAGAAAATTCATAACATTTCGAAAGCTGCTCATATTGTCTTCAGGCACAGCTCGGTATGATAAATCCCATATTATGGAGGTTCATAAATGAGCTGAAAGAATTGCAGGCAGACCGTGACATATATTAGTATAATATGCAGTATGCACTAAAAATCGAGAAATAGTGAAATATTTAATACCATTAAAATACTAAAATAAGTATCGCCTTAAAATAATATGCCATTAAAATTTAAAACTGTATACATCATATTTGTATTGGAGCATTTATTTCACATTATAGTTTTGCTATCTCCCTCCTGCCCGTCCTACATCTACAGCCACAGAACAATTCCAAATAATTTTTATAATAATATAATACGCCTTATCATTATTATAATGTACAACGTTATAATATTATTACGAGTTATGACATATCATAATATTATATCCACGAGTGTGATACACCCGTACTATTATATTATTATTATTATTATTATAATAATAATTAGTGACGAATCGTAGATTTCAATTTGATGTATTTATAATAATCTGTAAACGGTTTGCGATAGTCGATGAGGACATTCCCGGGACGACGTCGGTAACTTATTATAATATGGCTAAGCACTATATTGTAATAATATGATATTATTATATTAATTTTGCATATTATGATAAAACGAATAAAAAGTCAGATGCGCGTGTCCGAATAACAGTAACAACAATTATGGTTATTATGCCGAACGAATACAACACGTGTGTAGTGTTACCTACCTACGACTTGAGCAGCTGTACAACACGATATAATAATATTTTCATCGTCGACATGAAATGTCATCTGCAAAGTGCTGTAACCGATTTGAAAGCATTCGGTCGATTTGCTTATACCTACCGACTGCGTCTGTTGTTATTATTATATTTTGTATTGTTCTAGTGTTACCGCGTGCAGTATATAATATAATAACATAATTATTATTTATTTATTAATCACATTAGTCGTATATTGTTTTAACATATTAATCATTATTATTTGTTTAAATTTAAATGATATTACAAACTGTGTTCGTGTCCTTGAGATTTGTGCACAGTTCATAATATGAACTCAAAAACGTCGAGTCGTACGCGTTATTAATAAATAATAATATAACATTGTAATATTATGCGGTGATGAGTTTGGCGTACGGTATTGGAGAGAACAAATTCTCGTGATCATCTCGTTTGTCATCGACGAACTTGACTATAAAGTATATAAATACTAAGCTGTGGCTTCGATTTAGGGTGCCGGGTTGCAATGTCTCTCGGAGCCTTAAAACATTGTAATAAATTTTTTTTTGCCTGAATTTGTATTGGCTGTCTCAGCTTATCATTTTCCTCGTCGTACCATATAATATTGTTAATTGTTTATCGATGTCATCAAACGCACTGATGTACACTGGATTTTTCCATAAGAGGGGGGGGCTCGAAAATTAAAGCAGGAGCTTTCTATTTGTATTATTACTGATATGATACATAGAAGTATATATTTTTTTTTTAACTTTTTGTCATAAAAATAATTGGCAATAAAATGCAAATTTATTTTTATTTTGTCCTAATAATATTATTGTTCTTATACGTTGTGGTGTGGTAGATATTTTAACATGTTTATACAACTTAAATTTCTGTCAATAATTATTTTTTTTTATTAATGTTGGGCGTTAGCTATCACACTCGTTCATTGAGATGCATATATATATATATATATGCATAATACATGTCCTTACTTGTTTACAACATTCGGAACACTCGAAACTTTATAAAAGAAAAAAAATATATTATTATACGGGTAATGGGGAGGGTCTTCGGCTCGAGCGGGTCTCCCACTGCTGCACTGCGTACGCCACTGATCAAATGTAGGTACTGATCGTTCATGATATTATTATGTTATAGATTGTCGAGTCAACAATAACGAAAAAACCAATTTAACTTTATCATAAAATCGGTATGTATTCGACTAATATAATATTTTTTTCAATAATACAATATACTGATCGATATTAATATGCTCTCCGATATTGGTCAATCGTATCGGCCAAAATATTATGTGTTTTATCGTTTTCCACGTGACTGCAGCTACTGAAATAGATATAATAATATGATAGGTACCTATTTAACATTATATTATTATATTATAATTAATAGCTAATTAAAACCAGAGGGGTCCTCTGGTTATTCGAGTTGACATTTTTTTCAAACAATTAATTTTTCAAAACGCGATAATTAATATTTTTAATCGCCGAGTACAATTTTTATTAATTACAAATAACTATTATACCTATTATAGTAACTGCTCATTGCGTTGTCTTTAATTTATGATACGACACCGTACAACATACGATTTACAGTGTAGGTACAATCCAAACAGTGAACGTCAATATTGTTTGAGAATTTATTGTTATTTGTAGTTTGAATTCTAAAATAATTAATTGTCAAAGTTCCAAGTTGAAACCGTCCAAACCTATTTGTCTAACAAAGATGGGGAATATCAATTATAAGTAACGATTTATGTTTTTTAAGTATGCTATAATTTATCGTTATGTACACATCTTTATTCTTGCATCTACTTACTTACTGATTTGTCTCTAAACAACGGAATAGTTATAATATATTATAATATTTTGTTTGCAAGGAACATACAGATGAAAAAAAATACAAACATCAATTATTATATTATAATGATATAGACTTATCCAATCAGAATGACTAACGAACTGTCAATACAAGTTAATAATAAAAAAAAAACACAGTTTTTTAATTAAATGCTCTGCTATCAAAAATAGATTACAATGTTTATCATAATAATATTATTAACGACTATCCAAACCATTTATCGTTTATTTTCTAAATTCACTTAAACCGATCTGTACCTATACACTGTACTCGGGTTCCGCAGGTTAGTCGATCATATCTATATTCACCATCCAAGGCAATACCTAATTAAATCACCATTTTAATTACCTTACTTATTTATTTGTTTTGATACAAGATTATTATTGTAATTAATTGTTATTATTATTTTTATTATTATATTTTAAGACTTCAACTCAATTTTGGTTTTGACGTGTTTCAAGAATTAAATAAACGAATATCATGACATACGACAACATGTATCGCCCTGGTAAATATGAATTATAATACGGATATAATATTTTGTTACTAGATTTGTGTCGGTATAAATCTTTGAGAAATTATGGATTTTAAAATGAAATTTCTTGTTCCGACATATTTTGTGTATTGAAACAGAATGTGAATGTAACAGCAATAATTATGTAAAATATATAATATCATGTGTGTGCTTAAAAAAAGTATTTTTTTTTTATATGCTATAACAGTTTCAACTCTAGGTATTAATTTATTAGTGTTAAAATTCTAGTAATAACATTTAAATCTTTGCACGTGTTAAAACTATTATTATCCGATCGCGATTGAGTATTAAAATTTAAGACTAATAATTATTGTTTAAATTAAATTACATTTATGAACTATAATTCCAATGGTAGCTATTTATAATTATAAATCACTTAAAATATTTTAGGTGCACACATGACGTAATAAATCTTCACAACGCGTTATGGTAAAATATTTTTATGTCCAGGTACCATAAACGCGGTGAAAAGAATATTTAAAAAAATTTAGTTATTTATTTGTACATTACTAACTACCTATTATATGACCAGTTATGTTAGAACGCTATAATTACCGGCACAAAATGTATATTGTAGAAATATTATTAATGATAAACTAATAAATAATTGGTTGTCAATAATTTTAATTAAAAATGTAAGTAATAAAATACATTATTTTTTAGGAATTAGTAACAGTTTCTTTAATAAATATAACCTACAGGAGACGAAATTATTAATTAATACTATTGCGTTGGGTACAGACTTCTTCAACGCAGTGTGCTATAGGTGTAAAATATATTATAAATTCAATATATTCTTCGGTAGCTGAATAAATTGCTAGTTTCCAATTTAGGAACTCGACAAACGGGAAATGAATAGGTAAGGCATCGCCAATCAGTAAGGTAAAATAAAATATTTATTAGGCAAATTTTATGGTAGCAAGTACCTACATATCAAAACTAGATTGGTAACCATCGTATACCCAACTATTTTAGATAAACACTTTCTACGACTGTATGCCATTTGATGTCACACTTTAAAAATATCTAAGATTACATTTTTAAGTTCATAATTATTAATAACCATATTATATCATATTATTATAATATATTATTCAAAATAATATAATATACTAGTAAATCGTCTATGATCCAGAAACATTAATTGTTTGTGTTGTCAAGTTGTGATGTGGGTATTGATGAAAGTTAATGAAAGTAGACTAAATAAATTCACGTGATTCATTTATTTTCCAACATCTATTCTACCTATTGTTCAAAAACAAAAAATTCATTATTTGTCTGTATTTCGTCGTCACTGTATTGCCTTTGTTTACGCAAGACAAGTAACCCGATAATTCAAAAACAGTGAAAATGTCCCTCATTTCTTGATTTTTAACCATCGTTTTAATTGTTGTTAGGTATTATTACTATTATTATTATTATTATTATTATTATTATTATTATTATTATTATTATTATTATTATTATTATTATTATTATTATTATTATTATTATTATTATTATTATTATTATTATTATTATTATTATTATTATTATTATTATTATTATTATTATTATTATTATTATTATTACTATTTTTATTATTATTAATACTAATGTTATTTTTTTTTTATTACTATTACTATAAATTATTATTATAGGAATTAGACTACGTGCATGTTATGGGCCGTCGGAATACGTTTTTAAAATGTTTAAACTGACAGTGTCATAATATGACATGGAAGTTTCGTTGACATTATTTTGTTGTAATAGGTAAGGCAGGTATTATAATAAACCTCAATTTTTGTTTTGTCGTGCTTTATATTAGTTAGAAAAGGTACTGACAGACGACAGTAACAAACATACAATATTATACATAAAATAAATAAATAATTATGGATGATAAATGAAGTCAAATACCATATAATATCATTATAATATAAAATAGGAACACAAACTAACTATAAAATATACTTTTATTATATAACATAAAATATATTCCTAAGTAGGAAACAGATCGAGGACTGAGGAGTTTGGGAACTATAATATTGATCGTTGATGCTTTTTCACTACCTACTTCTGCATGTCATTTGTATAGACTATTATATTATAGTACTTATACTATATACATCGCCATACTCATGGTGAGTGATGGTTCCTATGGTTTTCTCACAATTGCAGTTTGGAGAATCACTTAAGCCCCAATGCCCCATTTATGTGACAGGTATTGGCATCATCTGCAGTTCTGAATTTTCTTTATCCAAAAAATCTCATAACTATAACGATTACATATTTACATATTTATAAATTTATTATAAATTTGTTTACATTAAAAAGCATACAACATCCAAAATACAGACATACAAAATAATATTAAAATAATGCAGATAACAAAAGATAATGAATTTAAATAAAAATATGAGTATTTAGAAGTGGTCAATGCGACCTATTGGCTAACTTCATCATGCGCAAAACAGGCTTGTTGTATAAATAGTTATTATTTAGTATAGCACACACTTTGACATAGAAAGGAGTACATTTTCACCGGTGATTCGCGATTCCACATTACAAGATTTCGCACATATCTTTTCGTTCACACGATTCTGCACAAAACTAATTTGCTACGTAATTACGTAGTTGTATTTTATAAAAATAATTTTAGATATAAAAATATCAATATTACATATTATTGGACAATATTATAACATTATTTAAGTTTTATCCCAAATTCTAGTTTATCTGAATACCTAGTACCTATACGGTGTACCTAATTTTTATATGGACGCATCAGTTACCTGTTGGATCACTAATATACGTATATTGCGATCACATTTTTGTGTTTTATTGTTGACTTTTATTCTGTGTGAGTTTATAAATTAAAATTATTAATTCAGAAATTCGTATTATTTTGTCAGAGAGAAATAAGAAAAAACATTTCCTTGTAGATACTTCCAACATCATTAAATAATAATCTTACCTTTAGATTTTATAAGAGCTAGGAAGATCCACTCTAATTTTTAAAGCCATGAAGGTACACGTTCTACGTGGCTTAAAATTTGCTAGGTATGTTACGTACTTGTAAGACGGAGACACACATGCGGAATCCACATTGCGGATACAGGGGCGACTCCAGGGGGGGGGCTAGGGTCCGCCTCCCCAAACTGTATTTCTAAACAATTGTATACTGTTAAAAACAAAAGTATGAAAAAAAATCATCAAAATTGTCTGAAAATTATGACTTCTCCCCCCCCCCCTAACCAAGCCTCAGGAGCCACCACCGTGTGGGTATCACGTCCTCTTAACGTTCAAAAGCTGCATTTGGACTTCCAAATCGGTGATGACGAGTCTCACGAAGCAGTCAAATAAATATTTCCAAATGTCATTATTGAAACCTGCCGTATGCCTTGCCAAATGCGGCAACGTAGCATATAAGTTAGTAGGTAAGAACGTTCTCAATCGTGTTATTTAAAAATAGGTACGGCTGATAAGGACCGTTTTCAATCGCGTTCTACCCAAACATTCGACTACGATATGGGTGTATAGATGTATGAGATAAAGCTTAGCAATATAATTTGAAGTTAGGTATTGCACTTGTCTTATCTTATTATATTATATTATATTATTGATAGACTGATGTTTATTATAAAATTACTATTTGTCGGCTATCGCATCATTGAAACTATTCCGAACTGAAACGTTTGTTGAAATTTGATTTCTGATATATTCTGATATTTGTTCAAAAATTATCTTAACAAAATTTGAAATTGGCAAATTCAAGTTAATAACGTTCCATATTATATCATATTGACTGCGGTGAAACTATATGTGTAAAACTTTTATAAACACATATTCCATAATATTATTATCATATAAATATACATTAAATATGCACGGGTACTTACCAGAAGTCTTAAAATGTGATAGGTAAACCATAAATATATAAAATGTTGCAAGTATTGTAATGGTGTGACTGTAATTATGTCTAACTATACATTTTTATTACCTACCTAGACTTTGGCTAACATAACGTAAACATAACATTGTTAATGTTTCCGTTAATTTTTCAAGAAAGCAAAGTTTAAAAGTATTTGTGGTGTCTAATAATTGATTTAAATTAAAACACAAAATATTCAATTGTGTTTGTAATTATGTTACATTATTTAAGAGTTAAATACCTATTGGTTTGTTTTTAAAGAAGAGTACCTATTCTTATTTTGTTTGACTGAAAAAAAAAGAAATTTGATATTAATTTTCTTTATAGGATAAAGATAAAAATTAGCTATAGGTATATTTGTTTTATTCACCATGGACTCCAAATTCCAAATAAGAAATTTTATATCACTATTTTTTTATATATATGAAGTATTTTAGATTTTTGGTGCAATTTTTTGCTAATATGTAGGTATAGGTAATATTTTCATAAATTTTGTATATATTGAATGAAAAGATGAGAAGCAATTTACCATTTATGTGAATCCATAAGAAAAATACCTACATTTTCATATCATATAATTATATATTTTTAGGTAGGTAGCCTGGGGACGTTGACCCATCGAACAGTATACATATAATATATATTATAGAATATACCTAGTTAAGACTTCTTATCAGTTATTGTACTTATAATATAGTTTTGTACTTTGGTCTAATAATATTATTTAATAAATAAAAGTTTGTTTAAATTGTTATCAGAAAAAAAAATGTTTAAAAAAAATTAGGGCATATTATAGCACGTAGTTCATGAACTGCAGTTATTTTGGTGCTATAAAATCCGAGTACAGTATGTATTTCATATAACATTAGAAACTATAGCCGCTATCAACTTAATAAAATAACTATCGATTTTGAAAAATTTAATAAATATTTTAAATTCAAATACACGTGATCCAAACTTCAGAAGTAATTTTACCTATCGGGAAGCTAGAATCATTTTGCGAAAAATGCTCATTTAATAAAGATGATATTCATTGACAATAACAATTAATCATAACTAT